CATACATATTATATATATATATATGCCGTTGATGAGGTATCTCGAAGCAGCGGCGCTTCCACCATTCGCAGAACTAAGTTGCACACCTTCTGCTGCAAAATCGATCAGCGTGCGATGCCCCATGTGGCAAGCCAGCTCGATAAGTGCCTTTTGCTTTCAAGCAGCAATGACACAGTAGGTAGACGGCGCTGTGGTCTGAGGGTGCAGCTTGAGGGGCGCCTTTCAAGCGCGCCACAGCCGGATGCGACGCTATTAATTCCAGGACCTGGCATTGGCGAAGAGTCTGAGTTTCCTCAATGCTGTCGGTCTCCGGACGGCTTGCCTCTTTTTCACTATCCTTGTTCAGAACGACATGAGCATCGTCTGTCACCTGGCATCGAGACGACATAAAAACTGCTGCGAACAGAAGGCTGCCAGCATGGCTTTTCGCTGCTACAGCGTCTGTCGTCCCACATGAGCTCCCTCAAGCAATTTGTTGAGCATGCCTGTCCCAGCATGGTATCAGCATGCGACAAGCTTGCCCGCAGAACTGAAGAAAGTACGCGCTCTGCATCCGTTCCGGCAAGCACCTGCACGCAGCATCGTGTTCCGCTGGTTTTGGTATGGCTCCGCTTCATCAGTGTGGCAGATACTCGTGCCTCTTTCCATCTCAGAGGTCGCTGGGCACGACGAAGAAACAACCGTGCCGCATCCTCAGCTTGGCAGGGTTGCCCGAAGGCTAGCCAGAAGACATGGGCAAGATCTTGGCTGCCTGTTGACTTGGGAAGTTATTTGCCATAAAACCAAAGTAGCTTGCTACATACAGAGAGCCTCGAGATGCCCGAAAGCTCTTACGGAAGCTCCAACATATCCCAGTTCCTACCAGCAAAGCTCATTGTCAGATTGTGCTGCTAAGAGACCGCAGGCTTTAAGCCCTCAAGCTCGTAGTGCACAACCTGCCAGCAATGATGGTCAGGCTCTGCCGATGCATAGGGGGGAATCACCGTGCGATTCTAGTTGCAAATGCGAGTAATCTTTGAAGGAATAGTTTCGAAAGCGTTAAGAACACGAGCCTAACAGAGGGAGTGCTTGGGAGAGTTGACTGCTTGCAGGCCTTGAACTGGCTGCATCCTGGCCCCAGCAGTCGGTACCTGAGCGAGCACTGTCAGTGTCAACACTCTCCAAGGACATGTGGCACGGCTGAGGGAGCATTAAGTGCCGCGCTGAGAACTCACAACTATCCGAAGGTTCGGACAATGGCGCAGGATCTCGGAGAGAATGTTCAACATGTCCGGGCACCTGCACTTTGTACCAACTCCCAACCCTAACACGGCCATGTGCTCACTTGTGGAAACAGAACTCTTTTCACATGCGATGCTACGAAAGACAACAGAGGACGGGAACTCCATGCAAACTCCGACGCTCAAATACTCAGCGCCTCTCCAAGATTGTCCCGCAGCCGTGGATCAGGAGCAGTATTCCAAGCCCGCCTGGGAGACTTCTCACATTATCGCTGCGTGTCTCTTATCTGCGAAAACTGAGAGCGAGACTGGCATCGCCGGCAGACACTGCTTGCACCTTGGATCCTGTGAGGACAGGATCGTCAAACGGCTAGCTGCAGGAGATCTGCTAGAAATGTCCAAGAATTGTACTCAGTTTGAAAGGCGAAACGACTTTTGAACAGCCGGACGTGCCTCGGCTTGTGCTCCCCGTCTGCACGCTGGCCGTGTTTCGCCTAGGGTCAGACGATGTCGAGGCGAAGCAGCGCGACTAATACTGTCCCGTCATCTGCCTGGAGCACAATGCCTCATCACACGAAGCAGCGATACTGTCAAAGTCGCCTTTGCCATTTCGATGCAAGCAGGCTCAGCTCGTGCAGCAAGGTCTGGAGCAACTCCTGGCAAGGTCACAAAATGTCAGAGGCCTCAGTACAAGGAGGAAGAACGACCGAGCAAAGATGTTCCACGCTCCTCATTGGACCACGTCGGCACTTCGGACTCCTTCTCGGCTTCACTAGCTACTTCCATCATGGACGACCCACATGAGACGAGCTTAGAGACAGGGCGGTCCAGCTGCGTCTTCCTCGCCTGCCTGACACGGAGCTGTGTCGCTTCAGCCTGTGACCTCGCGAGAGTCCCCTGGCCTTCGGGGCAAACACTTGCGGGGACGGGTCACCGAAGCGGAGGTCAACCTCAACTTTCGCAACTTTTGCACATTGCTGGCTTTCCGTGTCTGCTATGGAAACGTCTCTGCTGGCCTCGACTGGCAACTGACACCCTTCCGGGTCGAGCTAAGCCAGTCCTCACGACACTGCCAAGGATGAACCAGTCTATGAGACCATGACCCTCCAGTTCCCAATGAGCGGTCGCAATGTCCACTGCCACTGCTCTGTGCGCATGAAGGACCGAACGAGCGCAGGCCTCCTCAGCCAACGCTAGCTGGACCTTGGGAAGTGGCAAATGCGATAAGAAGTGGCCCGGAAGCACTCTCAGTTCGCGACGGCTGAGCGAATACTGGAGATCCAGGACATGCAGTCCTGACCATGGTTAGTTTCTGTTGCTTGTGGCTGCTACCTGGGCCAGGCATCTCCCAATCTCTTCTTCTGGTGCTCAAACTTCAATCGCAGGATGCCTCCACTTCTGAACCCACTCGAACTTTGACGCATCGCATCTGCATGTGCAAAGCAGATGCTCGATGAACCTCGGATGGGCCGGAGCACTAGACCATGCAACACCTCGTTCTGCAGCCCTTTGACCCTGAGGGCCGTTGCACGCAATCAGCAATGGGGAGTAAGTTTCTTCGTCTTGTCTCGTCAGCTGTCAGCATGAATCCCTCCACACTGGTCCCAGGATGTCCCTGGCACCGCTTGAACCCTCCAACATCCCACTGGCCCAGCTGAAGACACAGATCTACAATCCGGACCGGATCTCCTTGAAGGTGCCCTGTTGCACCAGCAGAGCACCATCGCCATTACCACTGCTGTGTAGCAACCAGGAACAGTTTTAGTCTACCAACCGCAAGGACGAGTCACACCAGCCTACTTCGATTCGGTTGACACGGCTTTACGCAGTTGTGCACGTGTATGCGTCGAAGGAATCATGGCAGAGGCCAGGGCAGCATCGAGTACCGCAGATTTGCCTGCAGAAATCAAATCTCAACATATCTCAACTTCCTGTCAAACAGCAGTTGCAGTCTGGATCACTGTGAGTGCTCACTGAGCTGCGGACCTATTCCTGGTACAGCATGCCGATTGCCTTGGCACACGCGACACTCGTCTTACCCAGGATGCATGTACGTGAAATGATGTGAAGAGTTCTGGCTAAGCAAGTGGCATACTGTGACAAAGCGACGCTTGTCCAAGTGCTGGAGGATGGACCTCGAAAACACAATCGTGGAATGGCGGTCTGAAGACCTGCAGTATCGCAGCCAAGCCGCCAAACATCCAGTGTCCGCCCAGTGAAGTCTTCTGGAAGTTCGGGCCTTGTCTCACTGCGATTCCCGTGCCGGGTGGATTTCCAGCAAAACGAGGTGACGAGATCCGCACAAGAACTGCTCGAACGGCGTGCTCAGCAACCTCCGCCCAAGCAAGCTCATTGCAAGACAGCCCTTGGGCAACGCCAGCCTGGTCTGCGGCTTTCGTGCGGCCACCCTTCCAGTCGATTGGATTTACATGACTTGAGGGTTTCGGAGCTGGCAGAAAGGAGTACTCTGAGTCTCTGAGTTCTCTCTCACCCACCCTTCAAGCATGTCGACTCTCGGGAGCGCTGTGGCCTCGTGGGACAGATGACTTTGTCGTGGTCCTCAGTTGGAACGCTGCACTTCCCGGTACGTCGACAGCATTGCACCAACAGTCAGCTGCCGACTCCGGTTCGCGGAAGCAGGCAGAAGCTGCGGCTTGCCTGGCAGAGCCAAAACCTCTGAAAAAAAAGAAGCCGACAAACTTTGAGGGCCTCCTGCGGGATGCCAGGCTGGCATCGTAGAGAAGTGACGGCACCGTCGAAGGCCGCGGCTACTGTGCTGCCACAAAAGATTGCTGTGTAGAACATGCGCATGAAGATCTTCACCCAGGAATCCATGATAATGTCCTCAGAGCAGACCACATGCGGAATGCCGGAGTCAGCAAAGACATTGCCAACTGCTTGGGATTGACAGGCGTTGAGAACTACCAGCTGGAAGGGAGCTGCCCCCGCGCGCAGCGACAGCATCTCCTTCACGAGCTCGCAGCTGAGGAGGTGAGCGGTCCCCTTTCCATCTTCAAGGACCAAGCCCTGTGGGGTACCGTGTGCAGATAGGTGAAGGATGTTGGTGTCTTTTCGAGTTGCAATTCCGTGCGATAGGCTGCGTTGAAGGCTTGCTGCTGTCAGCGGGCGAGCTGTCAAAGAGGGTCCGTTTGGCGATTCCACCGAAGCTGTCACCAGGCTCCTCCACTCTTGTTCGAAATCGAGAGCTGGCAGTGGGGTAGCTCCACGGGTGGCGTCAATTCGGCAGAGTGGGGAGGCATACAGCATCATCAGGGAACTTGACCTGCCACTGGTCACAGGCTCCGACGGTTTGGCCACGATGCAAGGCACAGGAAGAATGGGCTCCGATGCGGCTTGGAAGGACACGCCAAGCTCGCGAGGAGACCTAAGCCGCTCCTGGGGCCGCTCCTGGCGGTCCTCTTGTGCCTCCGATGATGCACCGTCGCTGCGAGGTCGTGTGGACCAACCGGACTCTTCGGTGACTTCGGACTCCTCGGGGTACAACTCAGCTTCTGGCTCTGACTCCGTCTGGGCCGCTGGATTCGCATTGGCTGCCTCTTCCCCGATGAAGAAATATTCGGTCGCTGCTGGCTGCGGCAAGCTTGTCAAGCTTGTCGTCTCCGGCACATCAGAATGGATTGAGGCATGCCCAATCATCTCCGAGTCTGGTACGACATGATACGACGGATCCAAGCATCCCGATTTGCAAAGCAGCTTGCGAAGGTGTGGAATGATGCAGTATGTCAAAGGGAAAAGCACACCTACAACACCCAAGGCAGCCACCAACCAGCCTGACCATCCTTGCTCAACGCTCCCATCCAACTGAAGGTCCTCCTTCGGTATAGAATTCTCTTCTGGCGCATCTGACTTCACCGAGACACTGGCAGACTCCTCCCATGGCCGTGGGAGGAGCTGACCCGAGAAGGGGCTTGCCCTCAGATTGTAAATCGCGCTTTGGCGTCTTGCATGCGTTCTCTCTGTGTTTCCTTCCTGGCTCAACCGGCGCACCGACCTGGGACTATCTGGCGATGGTGCGCATGAGCCCGTCCAGCAAAGGTAGCTGAGACAAAACAATGAAAACGAGCCGAGACAAAAAGTCCACGGAAAGCGCAGGCTTAGCTTGCGCAGCATCGCGCTCGATGGATTGCTTCAGCGCTAAAGCATTTTGCTAACAAAAGTCAACAGCTGAAGTGCTGTGATGAACGGCCTGGCATCTCTGGTGCTTAGTGCTGAACAGCAACCAACAACCCCAAGTTTCACTCGATGCTTCCGTAGTCTCCGCGCCGTTTCGCTACATGAAGGCTCTGGCACTCTTGAGCCAGAGCCTGCCGAGAAAGCACTCAGGACCACAAAAAACTTCTGCTCGACTATGCCCTAGGTCCCGAAGAGCTCCGGCGGCCTTGTCCCTCCTCCATGCAAGACTTCTGACAGATAAGCCTTTACCTTTCGTCCAGAGAGCTGCCAAATCCTGCGCGCTTTCACGGAGTGCAGGGGTAAGGCGCTTGTTTGGACGACGGTACACGAAGCAAAGCCAAGGTCTTGCAAGGGGGATTGTGCAAGTGTGCCTAAGCAAAATGAAGGTTCTGATGGCAGTATACTGGGCATGTTTCTCCAAGGACTGTGCAAGACAAAAGGCTCAATTGGGCAAACCTGGCCCACTCTGCCATAGTGCCGTTCACGATTGCTGGCGCACACGTTACGGCTGACTCGCTTTGGAATTGGATGTTGATGCAGAGCAGGTTCATCTCCAGGTGCCTACATCACCCAACCCCAACCAAGCGGAGTCCTCTAGTGGAGGATCGCGGCGAGCCTTCTCTATTCGCTTCTGCACGACATACTCCTGAGCGTTGGCACATGGTCAGACAAGAAACTGATAATGAGAGTGATGCCGAGAGCATCCTGCAAAGCATCCAAGTCCAGCTGGAAATTGGAAGGTCCCAAGGCCAGCACCTTGGCACGACATGACACAACTGCAGTGCACCTTGCTGTCCCAACACAGCGATGTTCAACGCCTTGGCATCAGAGTAGCCGGTGTTGCTCCCGGTCTGAATGGTGACCTCTCTGGACGAAGGCAAGATGGGTAGACCATGGCCAGGTTTCAGCCTGCCTCAAAGCGGCCAGTGTCATACGGCCCGCCCGTGACCAGGCCTTTTTTGCCGTTATACCTAGTCACACACACACACACACACTCTCTCAAGGCTGCTGCAACAGCAGCTTGCTGAATGCCAAACGATTGCTGTCTCTTTGCGGCTCAGTTTACTCAGGCTTCTTCTGCAGACCCTTGATTATGACAGGGGCCCCTCTGAAGATCCCCTTTGCCTGCCAGGAGCGGATTCAAGCACAGGCTGTGAGGTCATTCTCTGTCCCACCTCAACATCATTCAGAGGTGCCTCCTTTGAAGCCTCCATTGAACTGCTATGTGTGCCTAGTGCGGTGGATGTGAATGTGCTTTGAGAGGTGTGTGAAACCTACTCGGGCATGCTCCGAAGAAGTTATGAGAGCCTAGAGCTTGTGGGAAACTCCAGCTTCAAGACTGTCCTGGCTTGCCACCTGTGAGATGCTCTTGCGATTGCCTGATGCTCTGCTGCTCGAGGTTGCCATGCTTGTAATTTTGACACAGCTCGAACCACAGCACCACCGGCAATGAAACAGATGATCCTGCCGCCCGCATCACTGCAAAGACAGGAGGTAGCCTACGAAGTCAAGCTTCTCGAAGACTGCACATTGGCACAGCTGCGCTTTGAGACGTTGGAATCGCATAGATGCAACATTGCATCGCCGAAAGACGAGGGTGAAACGACTCGTCTCGAGACATCTTTCAACTTTGTGAGTTTTGTTCGCTCAGGTTTGCCCGCTGGCTACAGGTCAGTGGTAGCTAGCTCTATCGAACAGCCATCGTCAACAAGCCAGCTAGGCCTGTGGTCGGGGCAAGCCGAGCCAGGGAAGTCAGCATGCATCCTCAGTGGAGACGTGCTAGAGCAAACTGAGTCACGAGGGCACCTGAGTGCCGAACACTCGAGACGATAAGGTGTCCCTTGAAACGGCTCCGTCGTTTGCGGCCCCGTCGACTGCGACACAAGTCACTGCTCGGCAAAAAGGCATGCCCAGGCCGCTTTCATGGTGTCGAAACACACACTCACTCTTGCTCAAGCACCTGCTCTTCCAGGTTTCTGGGCGCTCCAGAAAAAGGCGTTGGGCCAGCCTCGGGAAAAAGGATCAGGTCGCATGCATAGGCTGCATAGGCCTATCCGCATAGTGTATGTATGATCATGTATGCATGTACGTGGCGCCCTCCCCTCCTTCGACTTAGACCAAAACTCGACAGATCCTACTGTATGCCGGCACCAGGATGCATCAGCATCCTGAGTTCATGAAATTTCGCACATTCCAAAGTGTGGCAATTTTTAGGCATGTTAGGGCATGTTAGAAGTTTCGGAAGTCTCCAGGGAAGTTGAAAGCTTGAGAGAGAGCGAGACACAGAGGGAAACAGAGAGGCAGAGAGAGACAGAGAGAGAGAGAGAGATTGAGATTGAGAGAGAGACCGGCAGGCAGGCAGGCAGGAAGGCACGGACAGACAGGAAGAGAGAGGCATGTAGTCACTGCATTGTCTACATGCACTGTCTCGGAAGCCGTCAAGTTAGCATTGGCCGCAATAGCTGATCCCGCCCGAGCTCATCCAGGTCAGAGCTCGCGCTGATCTTGTTGCACAGCCCCTGCTTTCGGCCTGTACTATCTGTCCGTCTGTCTTTCTTTCTGCCGGGCGTAGGGGTCCCGCGGGGAGACCCTCAGGCCTTTGGCCCGTCTGTCTCTCTGTCTGTCTCTCTGTGTTCGTTCTATTTCGTTCTTCCTGTCGCCAGGGCCGGGGACAGGAGGGGAGACCCCCCGGCCCGCGCGCGCATGTGCCCCTGTCCCTCTTTCTTGCACACGGGTAAAGAGAGATTGATTACCCTCCCCCTCTCTCTCTCTCTCTCTCTATCTCTGTCTCTATTTCTATTCTGCGTTCTCACGTTTTGGGATAATTCTGGCTGATGCACTATCCAAACACGTGGCAGTTCTCTTAGCTAGGTTAACCGCATGCCATGTATCGAAAAAGCTGCCCAGCTTTGCATGCGTGCATTTTTTGGGGCTATGCAGGAAGGCCGCAGCTCACCGCCGGCGTCGGCTCTTGGGCCCGGGCTGGGCCTTGACCCCTGAACTCCTTGGCATCTTCGACGGGTGCACGTGAACTTTTCCAGGCGTATGCTCCGACTGCTACGGCTGCGACTGCCGCTCAGAGGCTTACGTTCGGCCGCAGGAGACTATTCGGGTCGCTCCCAGGTGCATTCACAAACAGCCTGGCAGCTCCACATGCAGACACAACCAGCTGGTGACGGATGGTGACGGCATGTCATCTGGCAAGGAACCAGGGATCGCCAAGAGCTCCAGCCCTCTCTGCGAGCTCCTATCAATCAACCGCACACCACGAAACAATTAAACGAATCACCCTCCTGATCCCTCAGCAGTGATGGCTGTCCCATTTCTCCTGCCTCGCAGGAGTGCAAAACACATTCGAGTTCCTTGGAATCTGTGAAGCTGCAGGCACCTCGATCCGAACGATGAGACTCCATATGATGAAGGCAAAGTAGCCCATAATGGCTGGCAGGACAGGCACTGTCTGTTGACTCATGGTACCGCTGCCCCAAATTGCCGTGCCTCCCTGCACGAGGAACATAGCAAAAATATGAACCTGGCACAAGGCCGCCGGCTTTGCCGGGGAAGGAGCAGGGCAGCTTGGCAAGGGTCAACAAAAGGACTCCGTGACTGTCGTGGCTCAGCAAAAGGGACCTGGAAGGTGCCGCAGCTCATTTTCCTTCCCAAAAGTCGTCACCAAACAAGGACAAAAAAGAGGCTCAGTGCGGAGTGCAGAGTCTGCAAAGCAGACTTTGGCACCAGCTCAGGCTGCGGCTGAATTTCTTTCTGCGGGTGCAGCTTTTGGAGCATTTCAAGTTCTTGACAGCCCTGTGCAAAGGGAGAACCGCAAAAAAAACCAGGAGCTGTCCCCAGCCAGGCCTTTATCAATCCCACGACAAGCTCTAAGCAGATCATGACCAAGTAGCAGAGATGGTAGAGGAGCAGCACGCGCAACCTCTCCTGATTTTGATATGCGTGACATGCCGGCTGTGCCCTTAAGTGTCGGTTTTGTGGGTTGTCCAACGAAATCGACTGAGCCACCACTGTTTTAAGAGTCTAAGCAAGCACCTGTCAGGGTGAGACCAGCCAACAGTTGAACTGCTGGCATGAGAATACATAAACGGAAATGAATGCTGAGCCCACATTGTGGCACGGAAATGAGAACACTGGATAACAGCTTTGGCCACCTTTCCAGGCAGCAGAAATCGTATGGCACCCTTGAGAGCAGTGAAAGGACCATGCCACGAACCCGGGGCAGTGGTGCCTCTGCTACTTCATGGTCAAAGATGTCTGTTGGGCGTACTTCTTGCCGGTAGCGATTTCGCTCTTCAACTGAGCCTGGCAGGGGAATCTGCCATCAGCTCGGTGAGGCAAACCACTACACGCCGAGGCAGCAAACCACCCGGTATTCGTGCAGATATGGCGCTTTAGCTTCTGCCAGCCGCTTCTGCTCCTGAATTGAAGTCAGCTTGAGAGCTTCAGGATAAGAGCTGACCGAGTGCCCCCCTAGAGTCCCTAGATTGAGCTAGATCAGCAGAGTGTCATGCACGCTGAGATTTCCAATAGGAAGCGCCCGAGTCACGCCCGCTCTGCCAAACTGAACTCTGGAAGCAAAGTAATCCAGCTCGGTCACATCTGACTTGATGTATGCACATTCCACAGCAGCTTGCCCTGACATGCCAGCCAGAACAGCCCGGCCAAGGCGTGCTCCAGCGTAGGCCATGGAGAGGGTGGCCGAGCCCTTTCCGTTCTTGGCATTCACGACCTCGGTTCCTGCATCTTGTGTCTTCCTGTCCAGGTCTGGAATTTTGGCGGGATCAATCCGCGATCCGTGGCGATCTTGCGAGAAGACCGGCAGGATGGTCATGCCAGCGTGGCCTCCTATGACTGGCACCTCAACCTGCAGGAAAGGGAAAGGCAAGGCCTGCCTCAAAAAATCACACATACCTCCTCTCTAATCT